AAGTGAGGCTTAAAATTCCTCCCACTTATAACGCACACAGTTGGTGTTAGTCAGTGTCTGTTATATGCTCCCTTTTCAGCTTTTACTTCTTAAATGTAAATGATTTTTACTGCCCTCTGATGCTGGGGTTCTCCTAACACCAGGACAAATTCCTATGAGAAACAAGGCGAGGCCAGGCGGCAAAGGAGGTTTACAAAAGGGACTGGAGTGGAGGGGCCCTGCTGAGGTCAGGCCTATGGAGCAAGGGGCAGAGTGGCGGCCAGAGGCAGGAACCACCTGCTGCTGCAACCTGCCTGGAAGTTGCCTGGAAGGTGCCACGGGGCACAAAGGGTGTGATCTGCCATGACGAAAGACAGGTCAAGCAGAGGGAAGCTGACAAATTTATTTGATCATAGTTTTAGGTGACAAGACAGGTCTGTTTGCCCCGCTGCTCCTCAGCTCCTGTGTGACACGTCTCTGTCCTGGACCCAGGGTGTGGCCCCTCTGGAAAGAGGGCTTTGATTTTTTTTATGGCCAGGTGATACAGACAAACATTAGAGTAATGTTTCCAGGCTTGACATCTGGCTTTGAGGAAAAGGAATTCCAGTTTCCACGGCCTGCCTCAGAAGAAAATTCAGGTAAGGGTGAGACAGGAGGGCAGGAGGGGGCTCAGAGAGAAACTTTACTTCTGAGGGTCTGTCTGAGGTCTTCATTTAGGGGTATCATTTCCTGGACCTCAGGAAACACCCCGTTTCCTGCTCATCTCCGATTATATAATTTCTTTTAACAATTACTAAGATAATATATTGAATCCCTCCCATATGCCAGACACCAGGCCGGATACTTTCACCCTATAATAATCTTTAGTGGGCAAGTTCACGGATGAGGAGACAGAAGTCCAACAGCCAACATGTCCAAAGGTAGAGATGAGGTTGGCCCCGTCGGTCTGGCTGTGGCCCCTTTCCTGTGTGGACACACTCCACCGTGTGTCTTCCAGGTCCAGATCTGGGGTTGTTTTTCTTGCCAACTACATTTCTGTCCCCCATACTCTCAATCCCGGATGAAGACCCCACTTCATCTTGACTCCCGCCTTTCCGAGTCTCTTTCTTCACCTTTCCATTACCACACCCCTGTGGGAGGAGTATTCCTACAGCCTCCTCCCCTCTCCACCCTTCCCTCTCCTGTATGGTTTTTCTTCCTCAAGGAAGGAAGGAAGGAAGGAAGAGGGGAGGGAAGGAGGGAGGGAGAGAGGGAAAGGAGGGAGACAGGGACCCAGCAAGTTGTCTCCAAAGGGAGCTCTTCCAGCTTCATTTGGGAACAGTTAATTGCAGGAGCATCCAGGCCCCTGCTGCCCTGCTGGGCGACCACTCCTGTTCTACCAGCAGCAGCAGCAGTGTAAAGTCTGAGGACAATTTCTCACTCAGGAAGCAACTTCCCTGAAAGTATTCCCTTTGTTTACAGTAAATGCTAAGGGTTATTACAACTCGACACACCGTGAAGCAATATACAAGATGGGAAGTGTGCAACACACCACTGTAATTACCTTTAAACCCGTGGATATTCCATAATATAATTACAGTATAATCAGAATAAAATATTTCTATCCAGAAAATTGTTTCCTGTGTGGCTTCTCCTTATATCCAGCTATCATCTTTCATTTTGAGACTATAAAGAAAGACTATCACAAAGGGCCCTGCTCTCTGGTATTCACGTCTGCAGGTTACCGAGTGACATTTATGAGTCTGCAGTGCTACATATTGGAGGCTCAATCATTCACACTTCATGTCTAAATCAAGATATAACTTGTTTCTGATTAAATTTTAGAATGTCAGAGTTCCCAAGAATGCCGGAGTAAAAGGTGAGAGAAAAGCCATTTCCTTAAAATCAAATTATCTGATAAATAAAAAATATTATCACCACTTCTTGAATTGAGGTAAGGAAATGATAGGTTATCATGGAAAAGTTTTTAAAATAGGAAGTGGGATGAGCTGATGAAATCAATGATTTGTTGTTAATATTCTCAGAGAGTTTGGGGATTGGTAGCGGAAAACATTTTAAAATTATTTTTATATGACATTTTTAGAGGAAAAAAAGACAACTTATATTTGTCGATTAAGATGCTAACTTTCAACATTTTTTGCCACATGGTTATAAAAAAGGGCATTAAGGGACCTGCTGTCAATCGTTACCCTCGTGTGTGCTGTCTACAGGACCCTGTGTGACAGCAATGAGGTAATGGGGGAAAAGCCATTTGAAAATTAAAACCAATACCTACAAACTAAGTAATGCTATTAAGTGCATTTATAATAAGATGTAATAAGGCCACTCCATAAAATTTCCTGACAGATAGAGACTTCGGCAAAATGGAAACCGGGCCATTTCTAACTAGAATTCTGATTATTACTTTCCAGTCTTTTACTTTATAAGTCATGTGACCTAATACCCTACTTTAAATTTTCTTTGATGTGCTCTCATTTGAAGGAGTATATTTGCAATTTTATTGCTTATTTTCGGGTTGGTGTCCCATCCCAAAACCACCATAGGGCTCCCTATATTCTGAGCAACCACAGTTTTAGAGAGGAAAGGTAAGAAAAACTAACTATATCTATTTCCATCTTTAAAAACCAAAATGCATTTTCTAAAGATTAAAATTCAGCACTGCTGAGCATATTTTAAAAATAACAATGGAAATACTGTCATGGCTTTTCAAAATACCAAGTAGACCCTTCGTGGTGCTACAGAGCAAGCTGTGGGAAGAGGGTCTTTCTGCAGACGTGGGGCTCGCTCAGCGCTGCGGCTCCAGCAGCCTGCAGGACTGATCAGATGCGGGGAGTGGAGCAAGGTACAAGCAAGCACTAAAGCTGACTCTTCTTCCAAACTCAGTCCCTATCAATTAAGAAGACTCCCCGAGGAACACGGCCTGCTGTCTGCACTCTGAATTCTCTGCCAACTGCTCCGTTAATTAGTGCAGCGATTAGTGATTTTGCTGTCACCTGAAACCGTTTTGCATCTTTCCCGAGCCCTGGTCAAACACAAAGAGAACACCTTTCAACAAAACAGGAAAACAATGGTTTTTGTTGCTAGAAATGGCACGCTCACTCTCTTAATATCTGCGTTTCCTGAGTATGGTTTTTAAGGTTTCCAGTGCTATTGTCTATATGAGAAGGCAATTACAAAAGAGGAATATTCTCTGAGATTCAGGACAGTTATGTGTCTCCACTATTGCCCCAAATACCTACAATTACCTTACAGGCATTGCAGAACATAATTATTTTCCCATTATAATATGACACAAGGCCACTCAGACAAGATGAAAACATTTTCTCCTTCAAAGTTTTCCATCAGAAGTCTGAACTTTATCTCAGAGCAGTGAGTGAACAAACACTTGTGTCTGAAACGGAGCTTTGACTTGACATCTCAGTTTTACAGATACTGTATCCTCAGCTTCAGTAGAAACCGTTACCATACTTGCTCCTATCTTTCTTTCCTTCCCCAGTTGTATATTCCCTCCTCACACTGAGAAGAACATCAGCAGAGGCATTTCCTGAGGACATCTCGGAGCTCCAGTTGAGGATGGAAAGAGCATGGGATCAAAGCAGTGCTGGTCCTCCTCCCGATGGGGTGTGTCCTGGACACCAAGGAGCGTGATCCGTAATCACCACAAACCCCACCAGACGATCCCGACTCCGTCCTGCCTCACAGCCTTTCCCACCCTATTTCAGCCTCCTGCCGTTTCCTCGTATCAAAATACATGCAACTGAGCTTCAAACAGCAACAACAACAAGGCATATTTAAGCTGGAATCTTTGTTGCTAAATCTAAGAAAAGGCACTTCGAACTGCGGGAACTCAAGCTGCAAACTTAAAACCTGAAAACAGAGAAAATCTTATACAGATACCCCATCTTTGTATACGTGAATCACAAAAATCAAGAAACATAAAATCCACACAGATGAAAACAAAGGAGGCCCTCGCATCACGCCCAAAAGCCACACCAGTTGAAACTCACGTGGGTGACTCGAAAGGACGCGGTTAACTTTGTTCCTTGGAAGTGAAATAATGGACCATAACACAGTCTGTCTCAAAACTTTCGTAGTGACCCACAAAAACTCTTCTGCTGCTTCTTTACTAATCTTCTCTTCTACTGCATTTTCCTCAACATCCATTCATAAAATATTAAACCAAGCAAGAATTTTAAACATATTTTTCTCACCCCAACTACTCTCTTTTAACTATGAATAACCTGTTTTTTTTTTTAAAAAATGAATTATACAAATACTAAGCATGATTTATTTTCTTTGAAATATTTTTCAGTAGTATTCACCCAATAACTTATGTAACACCATCAAAGCCAAATTGCAAAATGGCTTTTTTTCACCATAAAAACATAAAATCCCAAGGCAGTGCCTCTGGCTGAAAGGAGTAGGGTGCCAGCCCCGTATGCTGGAGATGGTGGGTTCAAACCCAGCCCGGCCAAAAATAGCAAAAACAAACAAACAAACAAAACACATAAAATCCCATAGAAGAAATTAATCGGGATTATTACTATAGAACACAAGGAATGTCTTTAAAAAAAGAAGAAAATCAATGTGATGTAATTCTTTCACATAAGTTCAAAGTTTCCCTATTTCGACATCTTCCAACGTTACAGCACAGCTCAATTGCTCAGCACAAAATAAATCAGCTGCGAATTCCTCTCAACCCAACCACGCTCACCACTCACTCACTCACTCCAGCATCCCTTGGCAAATAAATTTTCTTGCCCTACAAGAATTATCACAGAATTTCTAGTGAACAAAGTTCTATGCAAAGGGGTACACAGTGAATCTTACTGAATGACTGCTGGGTTTTGAGTGCTTCACAGTCAACATAATAACAAAAAAAGCTTGAAGTGATTTTTTATTTTATTTTATGTATTTATTTATTTTGAGACAGAGTCTCTCTTTGTTACCCTGGGCAGAGTGCTGCGGCGTCACAGCTCATAGCAACCTCCACCTCTTGGGATTAAGTGATTCTCTTGCCTCAGCCTCCCAAGTAGCTGGGACTACAGGCACCCACCACAACACTGGCTATTTTTTTGTTGCAGTTTGGCCAGGGCCACGTTCAAACCCACCACCCTCAGGGTATGGGGCCAGTGCCCTACTCACTGAGCCCCAGGCGCTGCCCCTGAAGTTATTGTTTTTAAAATCTTAGTTAATCAGCATTTTAGAAGTCAAGGTTCTTAGGATTGAAACTTGAATCTACAAACAGGATTCAATCGAACCATACCAGTGATTATTCTGTGCCTGTTCCATAATAGTTACTTCCCAAATGTTTTCTGGGTGAATATCACATAAGGGTTCCCTACTTACACCTGGTGAAGGATGGTTAAAGTGACTAAAAGATCTCAGCAGAAGAAAGAGGCTGACTGATCAACCAATCTTTACTGTATCCTCATTCTTTGAAAAGCAGCACTCTGGGTTTCTGATTCCCGCCTGATTGGAGTAACAAGGACTGGATTTACTCTCCGACTGTAAACAACTAGAAAACTGGACAACGGAGAGGAACGAGGCCAGCCCTGTAACGGCTCCAGCTTCCTCAGAGGACACGTCCAAACTGTGCAGAGAGAGGAGGGAAGCCCAGAGCCATGGCAGGCCTGAGTGGAGAGGAGGAAGACAGCAAGGCCGCTAGAGCATGGAGGGCTGAGTTCTGGGGGAAGAAAAAAAAGGGGGGGGACCCTGAAAAAATAGCCATAGAAAAGTTTCCAAGTTTAAAACTACAGATCCACACATCAAGAATCACAGTGAATTCTCAGCTGTCTGCACCAGATCTGTCCAATTTTCCTCAAAGCCCTTCGATGTTTCACTGCCAAAATCTCCCGGCTGTATCCTGTTTAACCCGCTTGCTTTCATTTCCTTGATGCTCAGTCCCTTGTCTGTCCCTGTCCAGTCCTCTGTGTCATCAGCGTGCCCGTCGACGCCCGTGCTCTCCTGTTCACCAGACCCTCTCTTTCTCCCCACCCATCCACCCCTAAAGTACCACCACCCACCCTCAAAGCTTTCACTCATGGCTTTCCTTGCTTAAAAATTACTATAGGAGTCAAAATCTTATTTATAAAGCCTAGTAGTTAATTTTCAGTACCTTTGTACAACATTCTAATGAGTTCCTTTATGTTAATCTTCATTAATCTTTAATTCTTTTTCAGATGTTAAATTTTGTCAGGGTTGAGCCTATATTTCATCTTCCTTTTACATTCTCAAATGCCTAAGAGATTGGCACATCAAGTACATAATCCAAATAAACTGAGCACCGTATGTATGTGTGTTACGTCTCTGTGTATATGTATTTCATCTATTTTTCCAAAGATTACCCACTCAATTATAATAAATTTTTATTCAAAGAGCTAGGAAATATTTTATCCAAGTAAGATAGCAAAGATCATTAATTTTTTACATACATATATCTATATAAGCTTTCTGTAGCAAATTCCCTGATTCGTAGTGATTTTAGGCCAGACTCTGCAATCGAATTCTGTGGTTTATAAACATGAATCTCTACTGCTAATATTAGATTTCCACATTCTTTTGTTAGTAGATGAGGGAACCAAAAATCAGAATATGATAGAAGCAGGATGAGTAGCAAACCCACCAGGACAATCCTGGCCCTGTAACTTAATCCACAAACACTGACAGGTTACTTCACCAGCAGGGCTGCTTTTTAAGAGGCTTAAATAAAATTGGGGCAGAGGCGACAGTGTGACCTCTTCATTCTCTCCCTGAACATGAAGAATGTATTTAAATATTACTCATCATCAGAAAAAAAATCTCAATTTTAAAACCTGACTTATTATTTCCCCAACGTTTTCAGAAACAGCTTTTTCCAGGATGCTTCTCTGTATCTGTCCATATTAGTTTAGGATTATGGACCTTACATAATACACTAAACTTCAGAGAACCCAACAGAAGTAGGTTTTAAGAGTTATTACTTTATTATTATAGTCTAGTCTTTGTTTTATGAATCCAAAGAATAAATTAATATAAGTATAAAGAAAAGAATACAGTGTTTTTTGGAGAAGCAGCTCTCATAGCTACCTTTAGTTCATTTCCAGTACTGTGATTCTTACTTCAGTGTTATGAAAGCTTAGCCCATTGATGGTGACCCTGGCACACTAAGGAGACAACCAAAAATGACTGTATTTAGTTTTTTCCATAATTAATATCATGGCAGAATTAAAAGATGGATGTCACTGAGTCAGGGGTTGTGACATTCTGCTGACAGGTATGGACGCTACACACATGGATATCCCCACGGCAATGTTTTGCTCCCAAATAAATAGTTTTTCTCTTTTAAGAAAAAATGTATAAAAAGTATCAAAGAGATGTTGTGATTTATATTGTAGAAAAAAATACAGAATGCATAATTCTTCACATAGGATATTACTATTATGGACATACATTAAAGAATTAGCTGCAACCTTCTAAAACTCAAAGAGGGTAGAATAAAAGCCTATAGTTGAGTCCATTTGGACTCATATTTGAACCATATTAGAAGCAGACCAAGAACATTAAGTTCATTAAATTTATTAATATCCATGGTATTGTTGATTTACATTCTTTTCAGTGGGCATTCTTTAATATAGCAATTTAGAAGTGAGGAAATGACCATAGTCCTCAGTATTGAGACAAAAGGAGAAGTCG